AAATATATCATATCATCAAAATGAATAACAACTAAGGACAAAAATATAAAAATAAATCCTTCAAGAACTGCAAAAATGTGCCAAAATTCAGGTGCATGAAACTACGCTTTGAAACGTATCCAACAATAGTGAAGTTATAAGAATCTGCTTTTTTTGTTCATCTCAGATGGTTGAAATTTTGATTTCCAACTTTGTTCAAAATATTTCTAACAGTCATACGGTTGCCATTTGGTTTTACTGAAACTTAGTGCAGAGAGAGACGATTTAGCAGGATAAACAAAGAAGAGTCAGAGAGCTATTGATTCAAAACAGATTCTTTTACCAGCTTAGCATGTATTCAGTTTCCATTTCCAAAACAGGGTCAAGAAAGTTAATCCTTCAATAGAAATGTTATTGTGAATAAGAAAGTGGATTTTAAGCACCAGAAAAATATCAAAAGTGAAAACGAAAGTGCACAATAGCAGTCAGAATAAAGATATCTGCATTGTATTTATCTCCTTATTCAGCATTTCTGTCCAATAATATTATATATTATATAATTTTTTTCAAATTACAACTCTCAAGTAACAACACTGGAAAAGTTCATGAGCATTTCACTCCTCTAATATAGAAATGCCATAACAATGTAAAGGTTTAGAACCTACACCACCAAAAATGAAGGCATATTAGTATATATCATATATATTCACTTCTACAAGAGGAAAAATAAATAAATTCAGATTAATGTTGTTGTCAGAAATGTTATTATCAGCAGCCTAAGACACATTTATATTCTATACATATACAGAGAAAGAGACAGAAAATAAAGGTGTCTTAGCTTGCAGATTCCCTCTATGCCACAAACTCCATCTTTGTAGAACAGCTGCTTGAATTCCAGCTGCTGATTTAACATATGCGTATGATGCAAGCACTGAGAAACGATGGCTTGTATCTTTCTAGCTGCCTAGTAGAATGGGGAAAGGGTTCAACTTTCCGTATGATGCTATGCTCAATGACACAGGAACTATGTAGGTTCCATTCAGTGGCATATCTTGACTTCCCAGACGGCTATGCCATCTTAACCAGACTTAAGAATGACCCACTCTCAAGATATATAAAATCAGCCAGTATCCTTGCCCCACTTTCCTATTGTATTTTCCTACTGTATTCTTATATCTGAATCTCGAGAAGATAGTACTTCCCCCAGGAAGGTTTGTTTAAAGGAGCTTTATTTCCAGAGGACTTTTAGAGAAAACACTAAAACCAGCAGGAAAAGGGTAAACTTGGGTTCTGGAAACTATGGAGAGCACTCAAGGAAGTTGTTAGTTTACTTTCCTAGAAATGTTCAGGTCAGTTCCTATTTGGGTTACAATTCTACTTGGAGTCCTGATGGTTAAAGGAAAGATACATTTTTCCTTGAACTAAAATACATGAAAACTGTTTGTTTTTCATTTCCTTAAATAAGTGCTAACAAAGAGAAATCAAAACCCACAACAATTGAATTGATTTAATGCAGAATGTAACAGAATAAACAAAGCACAGACATTTCATCATTACATTAATTAGTTGACTTTTAAAAGGATTAGATGACTAATATTGCCATACCATTAAACTTTCAAAAATGTATATCTCCCAATGCACACATAATTACCTATCTCTACCATAATGTATAAATCATGATTTATAAGTTTTCAGAGTCTTTATTACAAGGTGCTATGAAATGATCAGGCACCAGTGGTACCCTGTATCAGACTTAGCAAATGCCATCTGTCTTAGTTCCTTTTAATGTAGTTCTATAAAACCCATAAGCATTTTAAGGAAGCCTGGAAAATACAATAAAGTTTCCCTTCTTAGAGGGAAAACCTCTGAAGTCATGATTAGGGTTACCCAGAAGGCACTGTGAAGATCACGACTTTATTGCAGCTGCTGAACTAACCGCATCTGGACCAACATCAGAATCCCTCAGTGCTCAGTATATATAGGGAAGGAGAGCAGAGAGGTGGGGAGAAGGGGGGGGGGGGAGCGATAAAAGATAAGGGAAATGCACTGAGGTAAATTTTGGAAATCACAAACACAAAAGAATATCTGCTATATTAGCAACTGAATTAGTTGATTCAATCATTAAATATGCTCAGTACTTGGCTTCAGTGCTTACTATAAAATCCTGATAATTTGTCAGATAATTATGTTTATTATCTTCAATTTTCAAAGTGCTTACTATAAAATCCTGATAATTTGTCAGATAATTATGTTTATTATCTTCAATTTTCAAATTAAATTGAATTCAGAACAGTGCAACACTACAGTGGTCATGATCATTAAAGATCAAACTGGGGCTGGCCCCGTGGTCTAGTGGTTAAGTTTGGTCTGCTCTGCTTCTGTGGACTGGGTTTGGTTCCCCAGTGCAGACCTACATACACCACTCATGAGTGGCCATGCTGAGGCAGTGACCCACACACAAAATAGAGGAAGATCTGGCAACAGATTTTAGCTCAGGGCAAATCTTCCTTAACAACAACAACAAAAAAGACTAAGACCAAACATTTCATTAACAACGTTTTCACTTAAAAATTGTCTAAGCAACTCTATTACATAGACCAATAATAGCAATAGTTAACATTTTATCATGCATTACACTGTATGTAATAATTTCACTTGTGATTATTTGAATCTTATAGTAAAGCTGTGAGCTGGTCATTATTATACACACAACCTTGATGAGACCAGAATAGGTAAAGTATTTATTTGAATCTCTGTTGCTTATTATCTGAGTGTTATCAGGCGAGTTAGAATACATATATGCCACACAACACCAAAAACTTATCAAAGGGACAGAAATTTTATCTCAACTTTTAGCAGAGTACTCAAAATGTTCCAAAAATTTTGAATGAAAATATTTTGAGTGAATATTCTGAATCATTATATTTCTTGATCAAGGAAATGGGGGTAACAATACCCACATCATAAAGTTATTGTTAAAACTCCATCTACAAAATACTACTTAAATTATCATAGTACTTGGCACAGAAAAGATTCTCAATAATTCTATGTTTCCACATCCTCACCTGTTAAAATTTAATGGAATGGGACAAAGTCTGTGTTTTTAAAAGTCACAACTGCATAGAGGTAAAATCTCTATTTCTATCCATCCTTCGTTATTATCACGTTGAAACCCTTCAGCATAATTTGTTAATGATAAACACTGCACTTTTATGTTAATAAATTTTTGTATATTCAATTATACTTTTTGCAAAACACTTCTGAAGTATTTTCTACTTTTAAATGATTTTCACAAAAACTATTAAACTTCTTTCTCATAATTGTAAAATATGTAACATCTCATTCAGTGGAAAAGATACTAACCCACCCCCCCAAATTAAGGTACTTGCTCAAGTACAAGTAATGATTCAGTGGGGGTATCAACATAAAATTCTTGACTTATCTGGACTCCTACTTCATTCTTTCTATTTATTCCTTTCCAATGATCCCAACAACATATGTATCAATTTGGGATAGTATAAAATTTGATAGAACACAGTTGTTTTGTCCACTTCCACATACCCAGAAAAAATGTTTGCTGTACTATGAAGGTGTGTAGTGTAACTTATAATCATTATCGTTAAAATGAAAGTTTCAAGGATGAAGTTCCCATGTTTGCTGATATGTAATTAATCAAAGATGGGGAATACCTATACTCTGTGCTCCTTTATCCACCTTCCTTCTCCTATAACCAACACTGCTACCAGAACAAGGCATTCTTTTCCCATGAACTCAGATTCTACCTCTAAAACAGTCTGAACAAATACATCATCGTACGCAACCACTACCAATCAATCAAGTTGTCCCTGGAAAATATCTACATATCTATATATATACATACAGGTTGATTTATGTCTTTAGGCACATAGGATAAATTTCTTCTAAAAGCTAATACATAGACGAAATGTCTAAGACACAAAATAATACAAATATACTTTTAAATCCTATAATTCATTTTAATTTATTGATTTAAATTATTATAACTGCTTGTCGTGATCTGTGCAAATACTTGTCTATACCTCAAACCAGTGGCCCACTTTATTTTACTGACAAAGTTTACTTCGGGAAAAATGGCCTCTACCAGTTTACAAGGGTAAAACCATTGTAGGGATTGCTTACCATTCATCTTTTGTTACATAGTGCCCAGGACAATGCCTATTACATAGGCACTTCTCAATCCACATTTATTTAAGGAATGAGTGCATCAAAAGAAGAAAGGAAAGAAGGAAGGAGAGAGGAAGAAAGGGGAAAAAAGAAGGAAGCAGGAAGGAAAAAAGGAAGGAAAAGAAAAGAAACAAAAGGAATGGAAGGGAAAGAAGGAATGATGGGTAATTTAATCATGATGACTCAGAAAAATTTCATGTCTTTGAAAAGGAATTAACACATGAAAACCGGTCTGTAGGGGCCGGCCTGGTGGCACAGTAGTTAAGTGCACACGTTCTGCTTTGGCAGCCCAGGGTCCGCCAGTTCGGATCCCGGGTGCAGACATGGCACCACTTGGCATGCCATGCTGTGGTAGGTGTGCCACGTATAAAGTGGAGGAAGACGGGCATGGATGTTAGCTCAGGGCCAGTCTTCCCTGGAAAAAAGAGGATTGGCAGCAGTTAGCTCAGGGCTAATCTTCCTCAAAAAAAAAAAAAGAAAAGAAAACCAATTTGTATAAGAAAGTTGACTTATTGAGCATAAACATGTATGTTACAAAATTGCATTTTGCTAATTATCTTTTGCTTATATATAAATCATCAAAGGGAACATATTTTGCTTTATTTAGGTGTACTGTTATTTTTGCACACTTTCTTTACATAAAACCATCAATGCTTTATATAAAAGTGCCTATTCAAAATTAAATATCATTTTGTTTCTAAACAGTGATTAAGTACACAAGTAAAACATGATGTTTAATACAACAATGAACAAAAATGATGACAGAGTAATAAATTACTTATGCAATTACTAAACTAGTTTTGTAGATTGATACTTACCAGGATATCTTTTCCAGCCCACTTGCATTCATCCCTTCTGGTGTAAGATACAGGCCACACAATCTAAAGGCAGAGGAGAAACATTTTTTTACCCCAATTAAGCTCTCTAAGAGACCCAACATTATAGTCTGTTAGACTAAGCTGGCGCAACTGAGATAAAGGAACTTCCATAAAGCATTATATGACTGGAACCTCTCAGGTTAGACTTCGCAGTGGCATCAGTTAATGGTATAACTTAAATCATTCTTTCTCCATCTATGTGTTACGCTTTCCGTATATGAAACTTGAGCAACACAGAAATTTTTGTAGTCAATAGATCAGAGCAGCATGCAGTGGAAAGAACTGTAAGGCAGTTCGGGTGATGGAGATCATCCTAAAAGAATATGAGAGTCTAGTGAAGAAAGGTAGAAATAGGCAAAGAATGTGGCTTGTATTTTTCTAATTGAATCAGTCTTGATCATGAAATAGTGATTTTGAAATTTTAACATTGGGTGCTCTGGATCCATTTCCCTAATCCAAATCTCAGCATGACATGAGAGAATGAACAACTAATAGGGTTAGAAAACCCATCTGAGAAAAGTGGGTATTTTTGGGGGGGGGGGACAGGTAAAAATGCTAAGAGTAGCATTGTATACTTTCAGGAGATAAAGGAGGAAATAAAGAAGCCAACAGATGCTGTAAAATAAAAAGTCACCCTCCCGACTCTGGGCAAAACTTAGACTAAGTGAGAAATACTTGTGTCTGTTTTCATCCCTAATATTTGTTCTTTGTCTTTCCAAAGGTTCCTATATTGTACGAATACAGTGACAGTAGTAGATAAGCCAAGGCGTTTACTGGTGGCTTAGAGGACTGTGGATGCATTTCCCTTAATAACATTAATGCAAATACCCTCATCTAAATTTTAATATAAAATTTTCCAGTTCCCCTGAAAAATGCCAGTGTCGCCCATCTGTACTGGGGCAGAACAATTTAATGTTTTTTTATTCGTTTTTCTCTTCTGGTAACTTTAGTTAATTTCAGGGGAAAAAAGTTGTATGTAAAAGAAAAATCTAGAGATGATGGCAGTTAATCATTTATGTCTGCTAGAAAGCTTTTAGTCTCAAAATGACTGATTATCATTCATTTGGGAACCTCTAGATAATTCAGTATAAATGGTCATAAACTTGGGCAAAGACTATGATATTCAATCTAGGGAATTAAAAAACAAAATACAACCATTCATAAACAAGAATTTAGGACTTATTGAAATAATGTATGATATGACAAATGCATTTCAGGTCCATGTAAGAATTATCAAAGCCCTAAAAGTTTTTGGATATGTTTTCATTTTTACCATTTGAAGCTCTTAATTTATGTATTCTTTTCTTTTTTTGTGTGCTTTTCTTTTCATATATGTCTGTGTGTGTAAATTAAAACTATCATTTGACTTATTCCACAACTTTTTTACAAAGTAGTCACATAGTAAAGACATTCAAGAATATGATCCTTACAAGTAAAGTGAACAATCCTTAATCTTTACAAGTAACATTACCCTGACTCCTGAATTACTGGAGCAATTGCTGGGCAGTTCCTTCCACAGGTTTCACAGCCCTATCTTTACATTGACTATGGAAAGGCCAAGTGATCCATTCTTTCTTAAAGATTACAGTGGATGAGAACCAAATACAAATGTTCTCGGGGACACAACAGTAATAATATACAACAGAGCTAAGATTTATTGACTTTCATATTCATATTGACTAGATTGTGCAAAAATCAGACTATTAAAACAGATAATTTTTTTAATTCAAAATGTTTGAATTTTCCAGTTGTTTTCTCATAGTTTTCTAACTCCTGATGTTGGTGTTGAGACAGTATGGGCCTCATTTTGTCATTTCTCTATGTCAAATATTAATAAAAAAACAATTTTGATAACATTCATGCTAAATTCTCTCATACTTAGAGAGGTATGTACTCTTTCTAGAGTTCCAGAGTAAAAAAAATTAAACTTAAAGATTTGGCATGAGTAAAATACATTTTGATGCAGAAAGTGCTCTTTTGGAAAGGAATTTAATGAGGATAACTATAAGTCAGGGGAACAAATATATATATATTATAAATAAATATACATATTTAATTGTCTTTCCAACAGTATCCATTTCCATGAAGAACAACTCCTAACTTTTTTGGTTAGATTTGTTAAGCTGTTGATACTTTGTCTTCTTTGCTCAAAAATTTCTCAGTTAACAATGTCTAAAGATCTCATCCTCATATTCCAAGCGCTTCATGACCTATTTTACCCTTTCCCTTCTTTATGCCGCTCTGATGCTGCTCCTGGTAGTCCCTCTTGCTTGTTATTTAACAAGCATTTATGTCTCGAACAGATTAGACTCTTTTATCAAGGCCAAGAATCTTCCCATGTTCCTTCTAAATCCGAGAATGTGTTTTTGGTCCTAACAGGGATTGGCCTAGTATTTACCTTTATGTTCATACATCTTATCTTTAATATTATCTTGTAAGTTCCTCAGTGAGGATTTATGACATACTATAGTGTCCCCTATAGAGTTTATCACAATAGTAGATGCTTAGGAAAAGTTGTTGAATAACATTATACATAGGTTAAAAAGAGCACTAATAGACAAATATAGACAAACAAATGTACATCCTTAAGTAAATTGCATTTACTTTTATAAACAGGGTGATGTAATTAAAATTAAGTAATATGTTTGGAATGGATTTTTAAAAATATGTCTTCTATTATTAGAATAATGATTTTAAGCTCAAGAGCCAGAGCTACAAGAAGAACACTGGATGTTGAGCAAATCACTTAACTTTTATTTAATTCATTACTTCAGGATATATTTATTACAAACCTCGTTGGTAGAAGATACTGTGATATATCTCGAGCACACAAATGGCTCTAGGATTTTTCTCATCTATAAAATAGTAGCTTGTCTCATATGATATGATAATTTAGTTCTTTGCAATTTTAGAATCAATTGAATATATAACCCAAACTAAGAATATTTATTCAGAGAGAAACATTAAATATGTTATATATATATATTCTGAAGTGATACGTGTTTATATAATATCTATCTATAGATACATACATATACATTTATATTCATATATATGAACTTTATAAAATGATAAAAATGTCATAAACACTGAAAATATGAACTGATATAACCTCCCATTATAAAATATCAAATTTTTCTTAATCATATTAGATTTTTAATTCATTTTATAAAGGATGGTTTCCTTTCATTAAAACAGCAACAAAAACCTGCTTATTTTGTGACTTTAGAAAAGACTCCAAGAAAAATATTTTTACTATTTCAGAAAAACAAATGAATAAGCAGTTTTTTTAGATAGTAGATAATCTTAGGGATATTGCTGTTATCTGAGTAGGTTTAGAAATCAAACAGATTGAAAAGTCAGAAAAGAAATACCCAAGGTGATTTTTAAATGCCACATCTTATTCTAAAATATCAGTAAGAGCATTGCCATTTCATATGACTATATGTAACAAATCAAATATTTTTATATATAGTCAGAATTTTAGAGTTGGAGTAATAAAAGTAAAAGTCTTCAGTTTAGTGGTATACTCTACTAGAGATTTGAATCAGCTTTGAGTTTAAATCTTCCTTGTATCCCAAAAGCAACGTTCTTCAGCCAGAACAAAAGCTTTTTCCAATTCTGTTACTTTTTAAAAATTAATGTCCAGTCTGTTAGTTTATAAGAAGTGGAGGCACATCACTTTAAAGTCCTCAGAGTTAAGAAGAAACAAGACTAACATACATAATTCCTGCAATGCATGTACTTTTAAAAGCACTAACACTAGCACTCTTGTGAAAGTTGTGCTTAAAGATCTTTGTTCCTCAGAGAATTAAGACTGGAGATATTGACTGAATAAATGGTTGACTTAGAGTACAGCATATAGATTCAGTAGCACAATTTCCACTAATCTGTCAATCAATGTTTATTTTCCAAACTGTATAGCTTATTAATTACATAAGCCAGAAACAGTATAAAGAATAAGAATAAAATTGATAGACTGGTAGTGTCTAAACGACCACATTTGCAAAAACCTGACACTGAAAAGCGATCTTCCAAATCAGGCTTTGGCAATTTTCTTGTTTAAAAGACCAGATAGTAAGTATTTTAGGCTTTGTCAGCCAGATGATCTCTATCACAACTACTCAACTCTGCCATTGTAGAACGAAAGCAGACATAGACAATATGTAAATGAATGAGAATGTCCATGTTCCAAAAAACTTTATTTACAAACACAAGTGACACGTCAGATAGGCATGTGTATAATGATCTATATACTCTGCATTTGCTGGCAATATAGAGAGATGTACAAATATAAACATAGTATACACAGTACATGAAATCAACTATATTTCTATAACGATTCAAGTATTTTAAATCTATGCAGGAAAATGATATAACTATGGAAGGATAAGCTGAAGTTAATACTTCTTATAATGATCATTGAAAATACTATGGTTTCTTCCCCAATGATTTTTATGGTTTACTGCATCTATTCATTTGTGATAATCAAATTAATGCATTATTTTTATTTCCATCTTAAAAGATAAAATACTAATTTAAACATTTTTTTCAGTTGTCACACTGTTAAATAGCTAGAGGATTATTTATATTTTCAGTTGTTTCAAAAGAACTACAGTATATGCATGAGAATAAAGATACCTTTTGAAAATCCTTGATATTAACCAGGTTGAATGAAAATATGTGATCCTTCGCTCCAACATACAGCCTACTCCGTTCCTCATCCAAAAGGAAAGTATGATAACTGGAGCTGTTGGCCAACCCATTGAAAGTGATCACATTGTTGGAGTCCAACATTTCTGCAAGGTAACGAAGCAAGACATTGGGTGTTAATGTGAGGTTCCACATAAGCATAGACTGTTCGTACATGGTAAGCTGACTACTGCCTGCTGTACTTACCAACCAGTGGTTATTCTTCATGGTACTAAGAAATATACAGAAGCCAATTTGTTTTACATCTCATTGAAATGGAAGTTATATTTATTAGTTTGCTGATTTCATACTCAAGACCACACACTCTTACAGAAGAAAGAGAGAGAAATACCTTGCCCACACAACTGGTCTCGTAGAATCTCTTTGGGTGTAGAGGTAGATTAGAATGGGCAGTATTGTATATAAAATGTCTTTAATTTTACAAAGACCTATTTAAGTGGTTTCTTTTGCTCTAAGTCATTAGCTAGAAGAATAAGTATAGGGGCCAACAGAGCAAAAGTAGTATGGGGGAAACATTGTTTAACCTTCTATGTTGTTTGCAACCTCTTACTATTGAGGAATTTTAATATGTGCTTTTGATCATTAAATCATTAACTCCACCATCTACATCCTTAGTAATGTTTTGTAACTGACATATAGAGAAACTGAGTTAGACTTTTACGAAAACATGAATTAAGTTAATTTTATTATCTGACCTCAAATTTTTGGTTTGTTATTGCTCTCCAATTTTCTTTTGCTGTGAATGGGCAAATACTGAACTTTTAAGCCTATACTTTAAGTGAGTAAAATATTTTCAGATAAAAATAACATTAATTGTAAATTCACTTTTGCCTTAGAAAGGCAGTTGTTGATAATCACCAAAGAGGTTTAAGTATCTGCTTCAAACAAAATTATGTATATATATATACCAATACAACCAGCATCCATAGGACAGAAATGTTGAAGATCCTCCAAAACTGTGTTTTGAATCAATGATTCAGATTTTTACAGTGCACATATAGTAGAGGCCTTTCATTAGCATACATAAAATGTACAATGTGTCTTCCAAAGAAAGGAAGCACCAATCTAGACCCTTTCTTTGTCCAAACCCCTACCCTGGGACATTGGCCATTTGATAAATTGCCTTGCTCTATCTATTTCTTCTACTGCTTTCTCCACCTTATCAAAAACATTATTTCAATAGGTGATAAAGTTCAAACTCCTTAACTTAGCATTAAAGGACAGGTTTGAGTTTAGACCCCACCCCAGTACTCCTCCTCACGACCTCTACCCTGCAGAAAAACATGCTCTGTAGTCATCCATTTTAGCCTTTGCTGCCATTGTTCCTGACACATACAACTATATGCCACCTGACAAAATAGTATCCACTCTTCCAAGCTAGTTCAAATGCTATCTCTAAGAAATTCTCATAGAACTAATTTCTTTGTAACATTTTGCTTGAATTACTCTTATAACTTGCTCATATCACACTGTCAATTATTACAATCATTCATATAGATGATTTATCTACCAGAATTAACATTCTCTCACTTCATGAAATATGAATTAATACCTCATTATCCACAGCTCACACGGTTTCTTTTCCATATTACCAGGTCAATAAATATCAAAATGTATCTATCTAATACACAAAATTACAAGAATTAATTGTTAACAAGTTGTTAAAGGATGCTTTTCTAATTTCGTCATGAGAAACAGTATAATACTAGGCTGGTCTTATTCCACCCCCAAACCCTGCTGAAAAAAAGGAAGAAAGAAAGGAAGAAGGAGGAAGGAAGAAGCAGCAAGAAAGAATGGAAGGAAGGAGGGAAAAAAGAACTAGATCAAGGGAAAGAGTTTCATTCATGTGAATCATACCTAAAAGAAATGAGAGCTATGAGTCTTCAGAGAGAAAAAGCAGAGAATCCACTACATGGTATCTGAATTTAAATGTCGTTCCTCTTACCAGTGTCCAAATGACTTCAAAGGATCAAGGCTACAGAGAGTCAATATAAGACTGTAATTTCAGGTACTCTGAGCTGTGTGAGGATGAAAAGGGCTACTACCAGAAGCAGGGGCTATGTCACTGGATATATTCATGTGGTGACTGAATGGCTGTTTAAGGAGGTCTGTTTGTCAAATAGATTAGATGCCCTTCATTCAATTTTCCAATTCTAAACTCTATAATTCTACCCTAAAACCAGAGAAAGCAAACTAAAGGTAGCTAGGCAAACTTAAAAATAAAAACCAGCCGAGTCTAAACCAAGATAAGTACATAGAAATATTAACCAATGCAAGGGGACAGAAGGGTGGATTTTAAATGGAAATGCATGGAAACTACATAAGGCAGCTCTAAGCATTAAGTGGAAGAAGTTATAGGAAGACAACTACTATAGCTATAGAACATGGAGTCATCCAGTTATAGGTAAAAAAAAAAAATCAGCATCACTACGGAACTATTTACTAGGTGTGCAAACTAGAACGAATTCCTTACACCACCTGGGCCTCGGTTTTTGGAAGATGGGGTTAATAACATATCTTCCAAGAGTTATTGTGAAGGTGAAGTTAGATAATTCATGTAAAATATCTAGAACAATAGTTCTCATAGTAAACACTAAATTAAAGATTACCTGTTTGTTTAATTAGAGGTTAAATGTTAATATGTTCAATCTTGTTGACCAGAAGTAGGAAATTATGGTCCAGAGCAGCAGACAGAAAAAAATACTTTTCTACCTATCTTACCAAGTGTGATAACTTGTTAGCATCAGTGGTCTTGTACCGTAAGGGGATAAATAAGAAGAGCAATATGCTCTTTGATTTACATTAATATTAAATGTAACGGTCATTTTAAGAAGAGTGAAGTATTACTTTTTCTTTGCCAATTTATGTGCTCTGAACTTTAAATAATAAAGATGATGACTTTGTATATCATAATTCCAAACACTGAAATGTTCATCCAATTGAAAAATATGTTACCGGCTGAATTTTGTAAAATAGTTCAGGGAGAATTATAGGTATAGACAACTTGAGAAAAGTCTTGAGTGGTTTATGTATGAAATCACTCTGGAAACTACACTTTAAAGGATGTTTCTGCTGGATCATTTCATTAAACGAAAAGACAGTATTTTCCTGGAGTACTGGTTAAGCAGCTGTTTCCCTGCTTTCAAATGTGCTGAATTTTGCCTCATCATTCCTTTTGCTTCAATTTCTTTAGATGTTCCTCTCTATCAGGGACCTTTTACATTGTTTTATTACCGAGAGAAGAGTCTTTGTGAGACCCTTATGGCAGTGAGCCATGACAAATTCTGGATTGCTTAGGTTATCTCACCGCTTTCCAGGGCAAAAATACCTAGGTTAAAATCAGAGACCATTTCTCTAAATCTAGATCTTGCGCTGTTTAATATTCTGTTTTTCCTTATTTATGATTTTGTTTTTCCTATATGTGGACACAGTCAGCTGCAATTGATGTTAAATAACTCCAACTTTGACTCTACTCCTTCAGAATTTTAGGTGTTTCTTTTCAGCTTCTGTTATGTAAATCTTACCGTTACGTAAACTAGTACTGGAACTAAAATAAATATTCAGTAATGTGAGATTTAATATTTAATATTCTGCTAGCTTCCCACATCTTGCCTATGTTCATATTTAGTTGAACAACAACAAATGTTATTTTAACGAACAACCTGAATTTCTATAGCATCAACGTGACTATGGTAAAAACATCCAAGCATATAAAGGCACTAATTCTTTTTGGGTGTCATTCAGTTTTTCTCTGGTTGAGACATTACTTCAACTTCCACATGCTGTCATGCTGTTTTTATATCAACCATAAAGAGAAGTAAAGGTAGGATTGCAATAAAAATTGCCATTTCAGACAAGCGCTCTTTAATGAACTTGAATTCTTAAATTTGAAAGGTTATTAAACAAGCATTCTGTTTATTCCAGATTCACCAGATGATTTAGTGTTTCTATTATTTGCTTAACGACAAAATAGAAAATACGCTGATCATAAAGCCAAGCAAGTAGTTTGTCTTCAATAAGTGCTAATTGTTATCACCATTATTATTATGATAAAAGATGACGTATCTAGTAAGCGTAAGTGTATAGATGTTCTGAAAGGGAAAATCAATTCATACAATTTAAAGCAGAAGTGTCATCAATTATAAATAGATTGCACTTGTTAGGTAGTTACAAATATAGAGTCTTATGAAATTCAGGACACATACATAAAGTCCATTTGATAGGTTTCTGTTTAATCTAAACATGCAGCAAAAGAAGAAAAGAAATCATGATTGATCTGTTCTTTAATCAGAATATCCTACCAAATAATCATGGGAGAAAAACCATGATCTCTTGTAATGAGTCAATTCCAATTTTCATTCTACTTGTTTATTTATAAATTTTCAGATTTGCCTTTCCCCCCGAATTCATCATGATCTCAATGAAGCTCTCTTTGAATAAAGACAAGACATTGCTAGCAATCACTATCAGTACATTATTTGCGATATTAAAAAATTGTTTTAGGGGCCAGCCTGGTGGTGTAGTGGTTAAGTTCACATATTCTGCTTTGGCAGCCTGGGGTTCGCCAGTTCGGATCCTGGGTGCGGACTCATGCACCACATAGCAAGCCACGCTTTGTCCCACATACAAAATAGAGGAAGATGGACATGGATGTTAGCTCAGGGCCAATCTTCCTGAGCAAAAAGAGAAGGATTGGCTGCAGATGTTAGCTCAAGGCTAATGTTCCTCAAAAAAATAATAAATAAAATTTAAAAATTTGTAAAAAGTTATTTTATAAACTAATGCTCTTCTTATATATTTATTTTAATGTATGAAAAAAATGGCAAAATTTACATCAAAATCATATGTGACTATTCATCTCTACATAATAAAACTGTGTGGTTTCTGTGGTGTTCTGATTATCTTTAGGATAAGCACAAATTTATACAGGTGATTACATTACAATGACCGGGTCAGATTCTCAAAAAGGCAATGAAATGAACACTGATTTCTAGAATGCAAGACCGCCTAGAACTAGACTGTTTCTAGTGGGATGGAGAGCTGCTGTATACTTGACCTTCAGATTCAAATAGCCACCCTGTTCTTT